AAAGCATCTTATATGATCTAACCAATTCTACATATTTAGCTCTTATCTATTACTACTTATTACTTAATTATATGTTCTAGCTATTGGCATATTTATTTTCCGTGTTGTTACGAATTGTTTTTCTTCATTATAATCTTTTTATTCTTGTTCATGAATGAATGTTTCATTTCATATCACTTCTATGGTGGAATCTGTCAGTTTTTTTTAATTTTATTCACATAAAATGCATTTGCAGTTTCATCCAATATTCTTGAGCATGCCATGATATTTTTAGACTACTGTCAATTGTCAACTTATAATTTTTTAGATCTTTGTATTTTGCTTATTTATTTGAATCTCTTGAATTTACGTCTTTTTTGACCACTTCATTTGGTAATTAATTGATTCGTTGATTTTTTTGGTTTTTTCGTTGATTTTTCGTCGATTCGTTGATTTTTTCATTGATTTTTTTGGTAATTAATTGATTCATTTGGTAATTAATTGATTACCACTTCATTTGGTAACTAATTGATTCGATTTCCAATTAATTTAGAATTCGCGGAACTATTCACTTATTTGGTACATATTTGCGATAGAATCACATGAAAACGTGCGATAGAATCTAAGTCTTTTTGTTACATCTGATGGAAGGTCTGATGGAATGCCGTAAACGTAACTTCGGAATGCCGTAACTTCACTGCCGTAAACGTTTTGCAACACATTTTCATGTGAGCAAACACATTGAAACTTCTTTTGCTATGCATAAACTTCACGAATCTAATCTTTAGCGCTGTGGTATCGTTGATTGTGCCTTTGTAGGATCCGCATTGTAGAAAGGAAACGGCCACAAATTTGACATAGCAGATTAGGTTGATGCACTTCTTTATGCCGTTTGTACCACAAGAACAACATTTAATCTTCTTCTGCCCAACTGGAACATAATTTGAAAAACGACTGAAAAATGATTTATTGATTTTCTTGCTCTAGTTGTTGTTTTCCTCTGGACACACACAGGGTATTTTGAATTACTAATCCTTCAATCACAATGTGATAGTTTTGAATTTTCGGTTACTTTTTACAGGTGAGCTCTTGCCAAGTTTTGGGGTCGTTTGATAGATTTGACAAAAACGTGGGCTCGAATCATGTGATCATCGCAAAAAATATTTCGCCACGTTGAACTGTCTCATTTTGTCGCTGTGATTTATGTTGTGTTAACTTTGATTTCTGCCATTGTTCTTCCCGCGTATTTTGAAACATTTCGAAAAAAAACAAAAAACAAAAAAATGAAAAATAAAAAAATAAAGAATGAAAATGGAAGAAATGGAAAACGAATAAAAGAGTGAAATAAAAATGGTGAAAAAAGAAGCAAAAAAAATGAAAAATAAATTAATAAAAATATGAAAAAAACTAAATTATCGTTCCAATTGCTGACGCTTTTCTGTACATCCGTTTTATTTCCCATGCATAGCTTTTTCTCAAATTTTAATTTTGAAGTTTCTTATATGATTTCAATTAAATCTATTTATATAGCTTATACATACTACTAATTGTATAATTACGTGTTCTTGCTAATGGCGTATTTATAGTCACTGATTTTTTTCCATCGTTATAATCGTTTTTGTTATAATCGTAATCGTTTTTGCTATTTTTGTGCTCTTCCCTCCCACGACATTTGTTTACAAATTGTTTACTTTGTGCTGGAAACTATTAATAATCTTCTGGAACACAGGCAGATCTTCAGAAAGGATAAAATGTTTCATGCATGAAAATGAAACCATCGATATCTGTTGTAGTGAATTGTCACATTGTCCTCAAAAAGTATTAGTTATGATTATCACTGATTTTGCGACTAAATAGAGGCAGCAGAACATGATTTTTTTTTCTGACAATAAATGATGAAACTTTCAAAAGCAATTTTGACATTGATAGTTGTGTCATTCCAATATATATAATTATGTATATGTGTGCCTTGTCACTCATTTGTACAGTAATTCAAATGGCTCCATTCTACTTGTCTCTTCAAAATATCGCTGTAGTTCTTGTTACTCTATCTTATAAATTATAATGTGCGAAAATGTTATAATAAGTAAAGGTTGCAAGATACAACTATTAGCAATGTAATGATTAAATATTGTTTTTGGCATGAACATACAAGTAAACCATTAATTACTACGAAGCAAATCATACGCATGAAATGTCACCAGCTAATTAAAAAACTAGAAAACAGAAGACTTGGAATATAATCAATTGCAATATAATTAAGATGCCAATAATGCCCAAATATACAAATCGGAAATAGTCCCATATGTCGCAATATGTTTGCATTAACAATTGACTAACGCCACAAAAACGAAAAACCGAAAATTTCCATAACAATGCCATAAAATGCAAACAGAGTTATTCAATACCGTACAGATTAAATATCCCTTTAGCCAATAGCGTTTAATACCAATAATCCGCCAGTTTTAATTTATGCAAATCCTTACACTCTCTGTATCGTCGAAACTATCCCTTTAGCCTCTAACATTTAATGCCAACGCAACGCCAGTTTCAATTTATGCAAATCATCACATTCTCCGAATAGTCCAAAACCGAATTTATCAACTGCCGGCTCAAAGATCGGAAAATGATAATGGAAGAGTGAGGAATATAAAAAATAAGGTGAAACGCATGAATTAAAAACTGTTTGTAACTTTGGTCGTTTAATTCCAACCAATCTAAAACAAAAAGCTTCCATTCGAGCTTTTTTGCCATTTCAAAAATTCTCTACTTCGCCTTTTACTTCACTATATCAATGGCATACGTCTTTTGGTTCAATTTTTTGCTGTGCATCGCTTCAGTTCAGAACACTCCAGGTAAGAAATGTTCATTCTATGTTCAACCTCAGTTAGGCCATGCTTCGGTAAATGCATCAAACGATCGAAAAGTTTATTAAGTTAACAAAATCAATCGAGCGAAGAGTATTTCTTAGAAAACTTCAATATCCGCGGGAAAGTAGATTTAATATGCGCGGGAAAGTGGATCACAACAGTTGTTTTTCAGATGTGAAAAAGCATAAGTGTCCACACGTCAACTGTAGTGTGACTATACGGGGCAAAACCAAACATTTCGAACATCTCCAAAAACACAATGAATCATCCCGTCATCATTGCAAGCAGCTCGGTAGTGGTGAAGAATTCCGTAATCATTCATCAGAATATTCTCCCTACAAGGAAATGCATCAACCTAAATTTAAATGCAAAAAGTGTGATTTTTCCTCCAACTACAGCCATTCACTGGCTAGACACAAGGAACGTTACTGCAAAGCTTCTCGTGAGTTTCGCAAATTCAGCAAAATTTTTATTATTTTTATGCAACTGATATAATACACGTGGAAATATGCTACGAAATATCTCTGATCACATCCTTTTACTCAATAAAGTGATGTCTAAGAAATGTTCATTCTTTGCCCAACGGGAGATGTGCAGTAGTGCATACTTCGGTAAACACATCAAACGATCAAAAACCTTATTAAGTCAACAAAATCATTCGGGCAAAGAGTATTTCTTAGAAAACTTCAATATCCGTGGCAAAGTAGATTTAACACTAGTTGCCTCAGATACATGTACATATAANACGTAGATGGGGAAATGCTAGTGGATAATTGCCGGAAACAAGTAGTAAAGACATTATATAATGGCATATCGTTTTAA